TTACGAACCTCTACTTGACCTAGAAAAGTAAAGTGTTTAGGTTAAAGAACTCTTTACCAGGTGAATTTATTTTATAAATTCGAGTCTTTTAAACGTGGGATTTCAAACACATAATGATGTTATACATTTATTTCCTTCCATATTATAATCTATCCAACGCGGTTCATTAGGCTTCAGCTTGTGTTTCCCGGAACGAAGGTAAGTTTTTTTCATCAATAAGTGTTTCCAGGATGAATCACCATACATTTGTTAAAAAGGGTACATTTTTTATTGTTACAATTTATCGATATTGTGGCCGAGNTAAAAAGGGTACATTTTTTATTGTTACAATTTATCGATATTGTGGCCGAGAGGAAAATATCAAACGATTGAGAAAACTACAATAGAAATATTGGAGATAACTCAATTTATACAGTCTCATTCCCATGCTTTTAAATATTACCCTTCTCTGTCGAATTTTAATCATCATTATATTTCATTCGATTATATGACCCTTGTTAACATCCAAAGTCTTCAGACTATAATAATTGTTATAATTTTACTAATAAGAATTACCATGTCTTGTTACAAGAACAATGATTAAAATCGTATGTTTACGATGGCACAATTATTAACAATATCAGAAATATTAATACATTCAATTTTTAAACATAAATTTATCAGTAAAAATTTGATATAAGACAATAAAATATTAACTATGCGCGAAATCGTAAATTATAAGAGAGATCATATACATAAAATGTCGATTTAGCTAGTAAAAATAAAAAACGGGTCTAAATTTTTAAAAGTATGAGTTGTACATGAAGCTGCAAATGTAAAAAAACTAATATAATCACTTAAAACTGTGTCGGTTCGATTGGATAGCTACACTCGAGAAAGATGATAAAATTATTTGTAAATAAATTTAACAGATTACGTTACGTTACAGATAAGGAAGTTGTCGTTTAGTAGCTTGAAACCTAAAAAAAATTTTCTGTGGGAACAGTTGAAAAGCTACACAAAGGTGTCAGTTTCCGGTGGACCGTTTGTGTACACATTATAGTAATATTTACGGGTGAGGTGCACACCGACGGCGTTGATTGC